CTGTTTCTCAGGTAATGGAGTATGAAATTTTCGCTCTGGTTTTTAATAGAGATCCTCTTTGGAGGGAATGTGAGTGAGTCCAGAGAAGTTCAAACCCAGGTAAATCCCTAAGGCTGGGCAGAATGTGTGAACCACAGTCCTGGAGACTGGAAAATTAAGATATCCAGGAGGTTTCCAAGCAGTAAATGAGTGTTGAGCTGAAGAGAAAAACCCTGGGTTTGATCCAGCTTTAATTTTACCCCGTGGGATTTGCCTTATTTTGATTTTTTTTCCTGATGGAACCTCGAAAAACTGATGGAAAACTCCAAATATTCTTGTGGAAATGTTGTGTTTTGCAGAGGCTCCATTTCCAGCTTGAAAATCAACCCAAAAATCACGATGACAGAAAAACACCAACCAGCCCTGAGCAACTCTCCTCTTGTCTCCAGAAATTTGGGACTGTGATTGATTTATGGATGAGTGGAAATGAACAGCCAGGGGTGGTTTGGCCTTTCCTTCTCTTCTGTGGGATCAGGTATCCCTGGTTTTAGTGGGATAAAGCTTTCCCTCTCCTCCTGTCCCTGATAAATTCAGCATTAGCACAGTGGCAGCACCTCCTCCAGGGATCCTGGCTGGGGGCTGGTTCCTGGGGGCTGGGATGGGAAGGTCCCCTGGGTGCCACCAGTGCTCCAGGACTTCCAAAGGTTTATAGGGAGGGGCCTTTTAGGGTGGAAAGTGGGGATAGAGGACTTTTGTGGAGGAGGGGATAGAGGGTTTTTATGGAAAGGGGGGGGACAGAGGACTGGCAGCACCTCGGTAACAACCTGCAAAGGGTGGAGGAGGGTTAAAGTTCAAACCCCACCAACCCTCCCTCTGTCGGCTCAGGGGAGGGGAAAAGACAACCCCCTGTCCCCAGATCTTGTCCCCTGTCCCCAGATCTTGTCCCCTGTCCCCAGTCCTTGCCTGCCCTGTCTCAGGCCATCCCCAACCCTTGTCCCCAGCCTCTGTCCCTCTCCCTCAGCTCCTGTTCCCAACCTCTGGCTGCAGCCCCTGTTCCCTGTTCCTGTCCCCAACTGCTGTCCCTATCCCTTGTCCCCAGCCCACAGACCCTGTCCCTTCCCCTGTCCCTGTGCCCCAGCCCCTGTCACAGCCCCAGACCGTGTCCCCCAGCCCCTGTCCCCAACCTCTGGTTGCAGCTCCTGTCCCCTGCTCCTGTCCCCAGCCCCTGGCCCCAACTCCTGGCCCCATATCCTTCCCCCAGCCCCTGTTCCCAATCCTTCCCTGCAGTCCCCGTCCCCCCCACCCCATAGGTGGGAAAACACTCCCCCCCTCCCCTTCTGCACCGCTATTCCATCCTAAAAAAGGGGATAAAGGTTCATTTAACCTGCCGGGGAGCAGCGAGGGGCCGGTGGCCCCCCGGGAGCCGCATCCCACGGCCGGTCCATGTGAGAGCAGCGCTCGCCCGGTGCAGGAGACACTCGCCCACGCACAGCTCGTTAGTTGTCTGGAGCAGGGAAAGGAGCAGGAGATGCCTGGAGAAGTCCCAGCCCTCCTTTCTGCCTCTCTCCCCGAGGAGGGAGAGGAGAACAGGGGGAGCCGGGGGGGATTAATGAGCGTGGCTGCGCCGCGGGGATGAATTTTTCATGCGGCCCGAATTTGTGGTTGTAACACGGGGATTTGGGCTCGGCGGGATTTGGGGTGTTTTTAGCTGGGAACGCTCAGAAGGGAAAGGCAAAAGTCGGTCGTGCTGCGGTTTGGGGGAAAGGCGGTGCAGGGGAGGGGTCTGGAGTGGGGGTTGGAGCGGGAGGGGGGATTTTTGACATCCCAGGGGTCTGACTGTGCTGCTGGATTTGATCCCAGCGCTGGGCTGGCTCTGGGACCAGCTCCACATGGGGACACTGCTGCCCCAGGGCTGGCAGAGGGGAAAAGCCCCCACAGCCCTGCCTGGGTGGGCACAGGGAGTGCCCAGGGAGGTGGCAGGGCAGGAGGGTCCCTTGGAGGGTGTCTGTGCCCCTCTGCAGTGCGTGGATCCCACAGGACCTGCTCCATCCAGGGCTTCGTGGCCGCTCCCACCCCAAAATGCAACCCCACCCCACAGTTCTGGGCTCAGGGAAGAGGCCACGTTTGCTGCAGGGTCTGGAAGGTGTCAGTCTGCTCATGTGGGGCAGGGAGGGAAATCCTGGGCAGACTCGAGGAGGATGGAGGGAAAAATCCACCTTCCACCAGTCCTTGGTACTGAATGGAACAGGTTGTCCAGAGAAGTTGTGGATTCCCCATCCTGGGAACTGTTCAAGGCCAGGCTGGAGCAACCTGGGATAGTGGGAAGGGGTGGAATGAGATGAGCTTTAAGGTCCCTTCCAACCCAACCCATTCTGGAATTCTGGGATTATAACTCACGGTCAGGGCACAAAGACAACCCGTGTGTGTGGCAGTGGGGAGGGTTTGGCTGCCAGCACAGAAAGCTGGGCTGGAACTTCCAGGCCTTTCCAGGGATTCACTGGGCATTTGCAGATCAAACCATTCCCCTGCTTTGCAACCTCCCAGTCCCAAATCTCCTCCCCTACACCGAGTGAGTGCCCAGAGCTGAGAGGACAAGCTGGGTGGTTGGGGTTTTTTAATTTTATTTAATCCACATTATAGTCAAACCCCTGGGAAATCCTGTTAAAAGATCAGTGAGGATTTTCTGAGCCCAGGGAAATGTTCCATCTCAGTCAGGGAGTCCTTTGGATCAGCCAGGCTTCGGGAGGGACAGAACTGCTGCAAAAATCCCCCAACAAAAGGCAGATGGGCTCAATTTCTTGGCCCAATTTTTTCTTTTCTTAGTAATTTTGAAACAAAACCAAAAAAAAAAAAAAAAAGAGAGAGAGAGAAATACTTTCAATGCACTGAAATGTCGTGTGCTCTGTGCAGTTGCTGCTTTTAGATTGTGTTGCTGAGGGGAAGCACCTGCCCTGGCAGGGGGACAGAAACCAGGAAGGGCCAGGGATTCCAGCTCTGTGGAATCCCCAGGCTGGGATTCTGGGTGAGGAAAAATGAGAGAGGTAAAAATGAAGGTAAAACACCTGCCAAGCCTAAAAGCCACCTGGCACAGGTTGCCCAGAGAAGCTGTGGCTGCCCCATCCCTGGGAGTTTGATTCCTCAGGAGCTGCTTCCTCTGGTTCTGCTTTTCCCAGCCTGTGCTCAGGGGCTGGGACAGCACAGAGGGGCCCAGGGGAGGAGCTGAGGGCACTGGAGGGCACAAAAAAAGGGCACTGGGTTGTTCCAGCTGTCGGGGACATCTCCATCCCTGCCCTTGGCTCCAGGAAGTGGGACCATCCCAAATTCCCAGGACAGCAGGTTTCCAGGTCGTTGCACAGCCCTTGCTGTCAGCTGGGATCCAAATGCTATTCCCACTTGTCCAGGGAACATCCCTTGCTGCCCACACACAAGGCTAAAATTAGGAGTGATTCCCTCTCCAAAGCAAGGACACAAGGAGAAGCACAGAGAGAATGGGAGCTCCCCTTATAAAATATTCACCAGCTCAGCCTCAGCAAAGGCCTCCTGAGGAATTTTGGAGCTCAGTTTAATGATGCTCAGAGCTCTGCTGCTGCTCCTGCATCTCCTGCCCTCTCTGCTCATCCTTTATTCATGAGCCCTTTGCCTGACATGACGGGGTGGTTGTTTCCTGAGGGGATTTTTATCCCTTTCTTCTTCCACAAGGAGGGAAAATACCATTCCATGTGGCAGAAAGGAGTTTGGTTGAAAACACATCCATGGAATGCTTTGGGTTGGAAGGGACCTTAAAGCCCAGCCAGTCCCAGCTCTGGTGAACACCTCCCACTGTCCCAGGCTGCTCCAAGCCCTGTCCAACCTGGCCTTGGACACTTCCAGGGATCCAGGGGCAGCCACAGCTTCTCTGGGCAACCTGTGCCAGGGCCTGCCCACCCTCACAGCCAAGAATTCCTTCCCAATATCCCAATATCCCGCCCTCTGGCATTGGGAAGCCATTCCCCCTCGACCCATCCCTCCACCCCTTGTCTCAAGTCCCTCTCCAGCTCTCCTGGAGCCCCTTTAGGGCCTGGAAGGGGCTCCAAGGTCTTCCTGGAGCCTTCTCTTCTCCAGGTGAACCCCCCCAGCTCTCCCAGCCTGGCTCCAGCCCTTTTATTCATATTTGTCCATAAATATATTTATATCCCCCCACATTCCTGAAACACAGGCAAGTCTGCCCGGTGTGTTACAATTCCCTGGATGTCTTTTCCCTGCTGTTTACCCCTTACTCTCATGAACTGAAAGAATTTCTCTCCCCTAACACCAAAAATTAAGGACAGAGCACCAATGTCACCAGGGAACACGTGGGGCCTGACAAGCACCCCGTGACACCTCCTTTGCCTCCCACTCTTCCTGATGTCACACTCAAGTGATTGTTTTATAAAACTTGACTTTTTGCTGGGAGGGCTTTAATGCATTTTTTAGCGGGCCTGTGTAAGAAAGTAATTGCAGATTTACTGCTGCTCTTAACACCACGGGGAAGATCCATCCTTCCACTTGGGACCACTTAAGGACATATTGTTTGTCAGGATATGCTTGGGGAGCACAGATTAATTAACACTCAGAAAAGTGGGTTTTTTTCACTTTTTTTCACGTGTTTTGGGGGGAAGCAAAGGATGTGTGGCCTTAACTTTGGGGACAGAAACCTGGCTTGGCTCTCCCTGACATCCCAGAGCCTCTGTGCCAACCCCAGGGCAGTGCCCTCCTCTTGCCACAGCCCCTTGGCACTCGGTTACAGGGTTTGATCTGCAGTAAAGTGAAGCAAAAGCCTGCTCAGAATTCCTTCGTGGAGCGAGGAAGCTGCTGAATTAATATTGCCTGGCAAGCAGTTATGTATTTTTTATTACTGAGATAGTAAAATATTGAAATGACTTCTGACAGAGAGAGGGGAGCGAAGGAAAACACCCAGGAGAAATTATTTTATCTCCCAGGCTTTAATTGAATGGTGTAAAACACTTTTATGGCAAAGAAAGATGATTTATTTTTCCTCTTACCATCATCTGTACCGGAAGAGAAGCCTCCTTGGAAAAGCTTTCCCACTCCTGGGTTTCCCTGCCATGATGTACCTGGGGGGGTTCTGCTGCACAGAGGGTTCTCCAGGATGGGTTTATTTTTATTTCTCCACCTTTTTTAAGCATTGGAAAGGAAAAAAAAAACAATCTTGTTTGTTTATGTGATTGACTCTGCAGTGGTTTTGTGTCCCCCCAGGGAGCAGAGGGAGGTGGTGCCTGAGCCAGGTCTGTTCCAGAGGTTCTGTGGGATCCTGGTGGGATTGAGGGTGGCAGAAGCAGCTCCTGCTGTCCCCAGGATGGAATGGTTTAGGATGGAAGGGACCTTAAAGCTCATCTCATCCCACCCCCTGCCATGGGCAGGGACACCTTCCACTATCCCAGGTTGCTCCAAGCCCTGTCCAACCTGGCCTTGGACACTTCCAGGGATCCAGGGGCAGCCACAGCTTATTTTTGGGGGGCTGGAACCAAGTGCTGCTGCCCTGGAGGGAAAGCCATGTGAGCAGGATTCCCCGGGCAGGATTCCCCCTGTTTTTTAGGAACTGCAGACATTCAGACTCACGAATTCCTTGTGTTAAATCCCGGCTCGGGGGTTTCCATGGAAACCAGCTGACTGTTCCTTCCAGCAGGAGGATTCCCAGCCTGACCTCATGGGAGTCTCCCTGGCGTCTCTCCCCCTCTCTGGTCACTGGGTCTCTGTCACTCATCTCCCCTTGTGTCACTAATCACCTGGAATTCCCCCTTCTCCCCCCTGCAGTTCCCCCTCATCCGAAGGATGGAAAAGGATTCCCAACACAAAGGGGTCGGACAAGATCATCCAAGGCTGGTTTTTGCAGAAAAGCCCCATCACCGTGGCAGGAATGATTTATATCCACAAGGAGCAGAGGGAGGGATTATTTATGAGGATCTGGAGTGACAGGACAAGGGGAATGGCTTCCCACTGCCAGAGGGCAGGGATAGATGGAATATTGGGAAGGAATTCTTGGCTGTGAGGGTGGGCAGGCCCTGGCACAGGTTGCCCAGAGAAGCTGTGGCTGCCCCTGGATCCCTGGAAGTGTCCAAGGCCAGGTTGGACAGGGCTTGGAGCAACCTGGGCTAGTGGGAGATGTCCCTGCCCATGGCAGGAGTGGGACTGGAGGATTTTTAAGGTCCTTTGCAACCCAACCCTTTCCAGGATTCCATGATAACCACAACCAGAGTGGCAGAAACTCAGGTGCCCCGTCCAACCTGGCCTTGGACACTTCCAGGGATGGGGCAGCCACAGCTTCTCTGGGAAAACTCCACCAGGGCCAGGTGGTGGCTTCATGGGACACAAATCCGATTCTTATCCAAGTTTTCACCTGGATTTACTCCCATTCCCACAACAGAGCATCCCAACCCAACCCTGGGGGTGATCTCAGCCCAGATGTGAGTCAGCCCTGGCTCCATCACCCCCCTGCCTGCAGCCACACAGGCAAAATCATTCAGGGCTTGGCTGTCCTGCAGCTTTTCCCGCTTTCCTGAAGGATAGAAAGGTGGGAAGACCCTCCCATTCCTCTCTTCCCAGGTGTTTTATCCCCTTTTTCATGCACTCAGCTCTCAGCAGAGTCTCACAGGTTGTTGAAACACAAGAGATTTTCTTCCCTCTGTAAGAAACTTTCTTTTGATTTATGAGACCAACCTGATTTGCTCCCAGATCCCTTCTGGCTCCGAAGGGATGCACAGGAGATGCTCTTGGATTAGGATCCAGAGCTCCCAGGGCTGGAGGCTGGGACCAAAAGGCATCCCCAGGCTGGCAAGGGAGAGGATCAGCCATGAGCCAAATGGGAGAAGAGACCAGGCCTTGCCAGGCACGAGTTGCTCAACATCATATTTCAATATTCATGGAATTCTGGGCCCTCTTGGATGTAAAACTGGGCTCTGTTCTCTCTGTATGTGCAGATCCCACAAATGCAGATATTCTCGTTCCATGGGAGAGCTCTCTCAGTCCCTTCCATTATTTCCTTCCTAATCAAAGCCTTTAAATCCATCCTAAAAAAGGATGGATTTTTTTTTTTCTCCAGCACACAAAATCCCAGGCAAGGCACCAAAAAAACCACTGGATTTGGGAGTTCTCTGCCCTGGGTTTAGGGGATAGAGAATCCCCAGGACCTTCACCATCTCATAGAACTTGACATCTTTACATCATTTGCAAAGTCTGGTGGTGCCTTTTCCTTGGCAGAACAATGAGAATTATCCACCTGAAGAGCTGAGTTTTTGAAAATTACAGTTTCTAAAACTGGGACTAGGGAGGAAAATAAGTTTGGCAGGAAAAAACCCGTTACCTCATTGTGCTCTTACCATCAATCCTGCCACTGCTGTCTTCGGGGACGCCTTTAAGAGACAAAAAAGGGCCTTATTTCCCTCCCCAGGCGACCTCAGGAAAAGCAGAAAAGCTTCTCTGCTGGAAAACATCTCGAGCTTGAAGCCAAACAGGCACCACCCACCCCAAAAACCCACTCACCTGAGAAGGAACCTGAGGTTTTCCCCCTGCCCCAGCTCAGGGTTTGTGTCATTTTGCTGTGAAACGAGGCAGCCCCTCCCTCTGCACGTGGGGATGGGAAATTTGGGTTTCACTGGAATTATTTACCCCGGGAAAACACATTTCCCCTTTGGGCACTTGGCTCCTGGCAGGGACAATTCCTCATTTTCTGGCAAAAAACCCAGTCCTGCAGGGGGTGTTTGTGGTGCCACATCACTCGTGCAGCCCAAATCCATCTTTGCTCTGATTTTTAGGAGCAGCCCTGCCCTTGTTTTATCAGTGCCTGTCACCAGCATAAAGAAATGCCTTAATAAATAGTGATAAATAAACCCTGGGTTTCCCACCCCGGGTGCATTTGCTGAGCTGTTCATCATCTGGGCTGGCTGGGGTTGCATGGCAACCTGTGTTTACAGCTTTGCTGCCTCAAAGAGCCTCTGGACTTTAAAGGTTTGGTGTATTTATTTGACAGTCTCTGGCTTTGGATCCTCTTCCATCTTTCTGTGTGGCTGATGTCGATAGTGAGTATGAAAACAATTTAATTTTCATTTCCACGAGGCTGGGAATTGACTTTTTTAAAAAATTATTATTATTATTACTGCAGAAAAAAATTGAAGAGGACCCAGCACGTTTGGTACTTCCCAGGAGTGTTTTAGATCACCTCCATCACCAGTGTCCTGTTTGAAAATTCACAGCTGGTTCGAGTGGGGCTTTTTTTCCCCCCCCTATTTTTCTGTGCAGCTTTGGGCTCTGAGTGACATCTCAGCAGAACTCCAAAAGGGGAGGAAAAAAACCCAAGGAGTGGTGGCAGCTGTGGATCTGGACTCACACACTTGGCCTTTTCTGGCACTTGAGTGAATATTTTCCCTCCTGCTGCCCCTGATGTGTCAGTCAGAGGATGCTGTGGTTAATTAATGGCCCGTGGAGGGGTGGTGGGGAGGACACCGAGTTTTGCTAATTAAAAGAAGTTGAGATTTTCAAATCAGGGATATTTTTAATCGAGGGAAAGTTGCCTTTGTGCTCCCCAAAGCCAGGGGGAAGCAGCCACAGGATTTCTGCCCTGGAAGGTTCAATTTGTGTGGATTCCCCACATCCCAGTGCTGGGGGGTTGTTCTGCCAATATTTGTCTGGATTTCACTTCCCATCTAAAGAAGGGAAGACTCTGAGTTGGAAACATCTCCCTCTGTTTAAAGTCTTCACCAAATCCATGTTCAGTGTCCCAGTTCCTGCAGGGCCTGAGCCCCTTTCCCTGCCCTGGGGGCTCGGGAGGGATTTTGGCCCCACCAGCAGCACCAAAGACCCCAAATATCTCAACCCTTCCCTTCTCTGCACCCCTGAGGATGAGCAGGAGCAGCAGCCCCCACACACCAGCCAAGCAGGGAAACGTGGTTTGGAAATCCAGTGCCCAAAAACCTGGAGAAGCCTCCACTCCTCATTCCATGCCCAGCAACTTCCCAGCCCTTTGGAGGAGCCCCAAACCCCCTGGGCACCCCCTTGGCACCCCCTTGGCACCCCCTGGGCACCCCTTTGGCTCCCTGCACCTTCATTTTTTTTGTTGGAGCCCTGGGGGTGGGTTGATCCATGGGGATATTTAGGAGTGGAGCCCATTCCCAGGTTGCTGAGCAGAGTTATAATAACACCCTGCAGGTTATTTTCTAGGATTTCCTTTCCAGAGGGATTTTTGAAAATCCCTTTTCCCTTCAGAGTGGTCGGTGGGACATCACCTGCCAAGGAGGAATCTGTGGCAAGGCACTAAAAAAATAAAGCAAAAAAATAAAGCAAAAAGGCAAAAAAAAGGAAGAGTGTGGAGGTCAGGAATCCCCCAAACATCAAAGAATTCACCAAACATCAGTATTTTCTTCACTCAGATACAACATTGGTTGCTGGTTTTGAAAGAAAAAAAATGATTTTTAATGCTGGTACATCGTTACAAGGGGTTTTTGCACCTCCACCTTGACGGTTCTTCCTCATTAACACACATCAAAGCTCTCCAGCAATGAGCAGGTTGCCATAGGAACCTCCTGCCACCACCGGGGTGGTGATTGCAGGACATCCTGAGTGGCTCAGGGATTCCCTCCCCATTAGCAAACCACGAGGAGAAGGCAGCAGCAGGTAAAATTAAGGAATTAAAGCTGAACTTCGTTTGAAAGTGGCAGTTAAATTAAAAAAAAAATAAATTAAAAAAAAAAACAAACCACATGTTTTTTAGCTGCTGCAAATCACGAGGGGTTTTGATTGTGTGAAAACAAGAAGTGTTTTTATGGAAGGCAGTGGAATGAGTAGAAACAGTAATTGAACAAATATATTCCAATAGGGACAGAATTGAGACTTGAAAACTCAAACAGTAGTTTTCTAATCTGCTTTTCTCGTGATGACTTAAAGGAGGGAATTATTAATGACACCTTCCACCAGACAGGCTTGGGCAGGTTCTCATCCCTCCAAATATTCATATAGGGAAGAAATTCTTTATTATTGAGAAGGAATCCTTCCCTGGCAGGGTGAGGAGGCCCTGGTAGAGTTTTCCCAGAGAAGCTGTGGCTGCTCCTGGATCCCTGGAAGTGTCCCAGGCCAGGTTGGACAGGGTTTGGAGCAACCTGGTATGAGAAATAAAAATACATTTTTTTATGTAAATAGGTATATTGTGAAGTTCTAAGATATCCAAGTTCCAAGACCTGAACTTGGGTATCAGGGTCTCTTTCAGCAGGATAAGGGAAATGAGAAAATTCTTTAAAATTAAACCTTTTAGGGCCATTTTGCACACGAGGTTTCTTTTCTCTTTGGGCTAAGAACAAAGGAAGGTCCATCTCTTCTGACAGGGGATGGCTTGCAGCCAACTGGGATAAAAGGAAAGCCCCTTTTCAGAGAAAATAAACCTATTTAGGTAAAACTGAATACATTAAAACTTATCTGAAAAGGGGGGGGATTTTGTGAAGCTATAAAATGTATGGAATTTAAACCGAAGGTGTCTTTTTCCCCGGAAAGACCCAACGCGTGGAATAAATTCTTCCTCGTTTCTTTGCTCCCTAAATTTATGCCATCTTCCTAAATTTAAAGAGAGGGATTTTCCCCACACTGGGCCAGGGGAAGGTGTCCCTGGAGTGGGATTTATAAACAGAGCTGGGGGAGAGCTCCAGGTTTCCCAAGTGCCTCCTCCAAGGCTCCTCAGCTGAGCTCCTGATGCCAATCCCAGGCACCCTCCTGGAGCTGTGCCCGGCTGCTGGGAGCAGATCCATCCATCCCAGCCCTGCTCTCGCTGCTGTGGCACCACCACCATCCATCTCCCCCTGCAAATGTGTCATCCAGACACCCCGAGCCTGACGAGCTCCTTAATGAAGTGCTGGGGAAGGTGGAGACAGATCAGCCCTTCCCCGAACAGGAACGGCCAAGGGCAGCGTCAACAAACAAGAATAATCTGTTTACAACCTCCCTGCAGAGCTGCTGCTTTGGCTCTTCTGCTGGTGCCACCCCCAGCTCAGCCTGTGCAGCCTCGGGCAGGTGAGTCAGGTCTGCTCTGGGAGGCATCAGCCCAAAGCAGGGCCCTGCTGGCTCAGTGTTTGCCTGGAATGGCCTTTCCAAAGCCAAACACTTCACTTGTTGGGGCCCAGAAATCATCCATTCCAGAAATCATCCATTCCAGATATCATCCATTCCAAACATCATCCATTCCAGAAATCATCCATTCCAAACATCATCAGTTCCAGAAATCATCCATTCCTGAAATCATCCATTCTAGAAATCATCCATTCCAAACATCATCCATTCTGAAATCATCCATTCCAGACATCATCCATTCCAGACATCATCCATTCCAGATATCATTCATTCCAGAAATCAATCATCCATCTCAGATATCATCCATTCCAGACATCATCCATCTCAGACATCATCCATTCCCAGAGAATCCCAGCACGATGAGACCTGTGAACAACTGGAATTATAATGAGGAGAAGAAGGTGTTTTGGGGTTCCCCTGGGCAGGTGAGCAGCTGACCCCTGGCAGTGCAGTCAGTGTGTTCCTCAGCTCTCGAAAAAGCCCTAAATTCCTGTGCCTGAGCTGGATTTAGTGCAGTGCCAGAGCTGAAACCTCAGCACAGCCTTAATTCATTTATTCCCAGAGTTTAGTCAAGCCAAACATCTGCCTCTAACAGGAGGAATTAAGGACTCTGCCAGTGGGTTCAGCTTTAATTTTAGGTGCTTCCTCACACAGTGATGATTAACAGCCCCCTTTGCCTGCTCAGCCACGTGTCTGTTTGTCAGGAATCACAATTATGGGATCACATCCCAGCCCTGCTCTCTGCCCCTCACCTGCACCGAGCACAGAGTGGAGCTTTGGGGTGGATCCTTCCCTGTGCAGCTTCCTGAGCTTCCCAAAACCACCCAGGGCTGCTTCTTTTCCACTTCGGTGCCTGGAATAACAGGATAACAGGATCCTCAGGGAGGCCAGGCAGGGTTCAGCCACGGGAATGTGAAAGTATCACTACCTTTAATATTTAATTGTGCCTGGAATCACAGAGGATGGAGTTTCCTGAAATTTTAATTGGCAAACCCATTGACCCATTTCCTTCTGCGGCCCTGGGTGGCAGCACAGGATCCAGGAGGTGCTGCTTCATGCCAGGCCTGGGGCTCTGGGGCTGAGAAAAACCCCAAATCTCCCAAAATATCACCCCACATCCCCCAAATATTGCAAGAACTGGGTGCACTCGATGGATCTCCTCAGTCACAGAAAGACTGAGGGCTGGAGGTGTTGTGCTGCCAGTGAGGGAACTCCTCCTGTCCTTGCTCAAATCTCCCAGGAACAGTTTTCCCTGATGGCTCCAGTGCTCCCAGTCAGCTGGAGATTTCCCAGGAAGTGATTCCACCCAGCAACTGGAAAGGAAAGGAAAAATGGGAGAAATCAGAAAGGTGTTTTCCCCTAAATCAAAACCAAGCAGCAACAACTTTCCAGAAAGGGTCAGTCCAGGTGAAATTGTTGCCTGAGAAGACACAAAGTTCATCTGAGTCACTTTTATTCCACCAAAACATGTTGTGACAGCTGAGGATCTGCCCTGGACCACTGAATATTTTAAGGAGCCAGCAGGTCCTGGTTCTCTG